CCCCCCCCCCCCCCCCTTCCCCACCCGTGCCGCCCCTCTCCAGCTAGTAACGTTCCTCTTTGAGGGTTTCCCGTCCTAGAGCATCCATAGTGATCCCGTTCGAAAACGACCCACGTCAGTCAGCTTTCCCTCTGACACTGAAAAAACCTTGGCCAAGGCGGCCCGTAATACTCGGGAGACGAGCACGGACTCACCAAAGTGCCGCTTAACCCACCTGGGTCAAGCCAAACTGCATTCTAGTCTATGCCCATGGTGACGCATGCACGTGGAGGCGCGAAGGCCATGTTGTAACCGGGACCATCATCGTTTCGTCGCTGTCGTTGNNTGGTCATCATCATCATCACCACCACCACCATCATCATCATCATTATCATCATTAAAGTCATCACCATCACCATCATCACCACCATCATCATCACCATCACATCATGGTCATACTCATAGTCACCACCTTCTTCTCTTATCCATCCATCCACTTACATAATCAGCTCTGGTCCCTCTTATTGTTCATAACTTCCAGTAGCTGCGGGGCAAACCTCGGACTGCTCCAATGCGATCGTCCAAAGTCCCCGCTCATCTTGTAGACGCACCTAGCGGTTTGGGGTTCAGGGTTTGTGGTTCAAGGGCAGAGAGTCGCGCTTGGGAGAAGTGTGTGGGATTCGCTCGTCTGAAACATCGGCTTCCGTGAAACGCCTGCCCCTTTTCTTCCTGAATCCGCTTGGAAGCGCTTGACTCACAAACCGGAGCCATCCCGCTGTTGCCGTGAATCTTTTGGCGAGACGAGCTGAGAAACACAACGGAATCTAGCCCCAAATGTGGATTATGCTGCTATCCAGAAGCAGGTGGACTTAAAAGGGTGGAATCATCGCGGAAGAGCCAAACCCCGAATCGACACAAACTCTTCCGTCACGAAGGTCACAACTTCTGCGGGGCAGCCTCCAGCTGCTTCGGAAGAGCTACATCCTCAGCTACCATTTGCACTGATGTCGAGGAATCCGGACTGATAGGGTTCAGGACTGATGCACTGAATCGGTCATAAGTTTAAAGGTAACAGCATGTTGTACATGTTTTTTTGAATGTCCGTAAAACCAAACAAATCAATAGTACAGACATGAACAGATAATAAAACAAACAAATAAATACGTGAATCTAGAATACATGTATATGCATAAGACAGGATACACACACACACAGAGACATATATACAGATATACACATGTGTACCTTTGTCTCTTTGTAGATATGGATTCGACTATCTTTGGGTTTGGGGTTTCGGGGGGCTACAAGGTACGCTACAAAGAGAGGGAACCGGGGTCACCTCAATCCGTCTTGAATGTCCGTCATTACGTGAAGTCGCATGCTTGAGGTAATGAGGCCCTGATAAGGCATGGCAGACCCAATGCTATTCTTCCGGCCTCTCGTGCCGAACACGCGATTTCCGACATTGGCAATACTGCCTTCGAGCTTTAGCATCAGAAGAAGCTTTTGGTGGCTTTGTAGCCTCCGAAGGCTTTGCACAGCGGCCCTGCATCCGAAAGCCGAAACCTCTAGATCGCTGTACCCTCGGACCCTACGCGTTGCATAAAGCCTCAAAGCCAGGGGGCTTCAGGAAGAGTAGCTTTCTGCGCAGCTGCCTGCTCCGTGTCCGACAATTTGGGAAGCCGAAGGCAGGGAACGAAAAAGGCGAGTTGAGGCAGCGTGGAATGGCTGAGCTAGAAATCAGAGAGCCTAACGGCCTCCTACCCAACTTCCGGTCCATGTCCTGGTATCCAAAGAACCGCCACAAGCTTGAGCCCAAGAACCCAAAGCCGCCGGAACCTCATGAAGCTGCTGGCGACTGGCCATGAAGGGAATCTGAATGTTCCTTGGGCTCTAGAGTATAGCTACTTTAAGCATCTTGTGCCATTGAGAATGCTTGGAGCTTCTAGAAGCTTCAGATTTCGATCAGCATAGACTAGCATGGACCCTCCGGTCCCCCACCGAAGATCTCAGGGCCAGTCTAGAGCTGGGAGGCCCAAGCCGAAACAAAGTTCCTAGGCGCCCCGAACTCACGGGTTGCCGGGTTGGGAGCACTCTAAGCCTAGACACGAAGAGCTCCGGGTTCAGTGTGTTCGGTTCCGAGCATGGCCTGGAGATGCTCGGTTTGGGGTGTAGATGCTTGGAGCCTCCCCAGTCACGTCTAAGAACCCCAAAGGCGGATCCAGGGCTGCGTCGAAGCTAAGGTCTGAGTTCAAGACATGACCCAAGGTCCAAAGGCCAAAGAAGCAACTTTGATGCTACCCCTGATGGGCGAGGGGCGACATCCCCGGCGTGGAGCAGCCGTGCACCAAGTCAAGTCGAGGCAGTCTCCGTGCTGGGAAGGCTGCCTACATGATGATGATAGTGAAAAATAACAGTCTTGATGATATCATAACAATATAACTTAATATTGCCACATTAAAAGTAATGATATCATAGCACCATCATCTTAAATAGTATTGGCTAAGGGAAGGAGCCCGGAGGTTTTGTGCTCGCAGCTCGTCCAAAAGTGCGGCTGCTTGCTGCTTTGGCCAGCTGGCTGCGATCGGATGCGGGCGGCAACATGTTTCAGAAAGTTGTCGGCGAGTTTAACAAGCGCTGCCATGACTATGCTGACGATGCTGCCGGTGGTGCGAACATCATGCTTGGGCTGCTGACCGCGATAATAAAGATTTCGACGCTGATGGCACTGATCATGAAGATGATGTGGATGACACCGGCACTGACGCTGATGATTCGCATTATGATGACGATGAAAGAGAAGATGATGGCTGGCCTGGAAGCTTGAAGCCTGCAACTGCTGTCGGTGGCGGGCCGGCTGACCGCGACAACAACATGGCTGGTGCTGCAACAGCAGCAAGAATCGGAAAAATGACATGAAGCACTTGCAATCATACCTTGAAGTTTGGTAAAAAGAAAACTCGACCAACCTTGACAAATGCACGCTGAGAGCTCCCGGCTTCTCCGTGGCTCAGTGGGATCAGGTCATCGACCTTCCCGTGAACCACAAGAGTGGGAGATCGGACCTAGGAAGCAGTGCAGAAGTGGCAAGGGCTTTTAGGGTTTAGGGCTTCAGGATTTGCGGGGGAAGTGTCAGCGCTCAGCGATTTTTCGGATTTAGGCTTGGGTGGCTTGCCTGGCGTATTCTGAGGCTTCCGCAAGCTTGATTGCCTCTAAGTTCTGGAACCAGTCGTTGGGCAGGACATCTGCCAGGTTCCCAACCTTAGGAGCCGCGGCTGCAAAGCCCCTCAAGCACGAAAAGCCCACCTACTGGATCCTCGCGAGAGCAGAAGGTGGCTCAAGCGCTGGGAAATGCAAATGACCTGCGATCCTGCCTAGCAGCTCCAATTTTCGTCTCCGGCACATCAAAAAAGCTCCTCCGCAAGCCGCAGCCCTTCTCACTGCTCGGCTGCGGGTAGTGACAGTGAAGCATTACTGACAATCATGTGGCAAATACTTTACGCTGAAACATGGTACCCAGCACTCTCTCTCTCTCTCTCTCTCTCTCTCTCTGTATGAAGTGCGAATATATACGTAAATAAAGATATAACGTATATATATATATATACACACACACATACATATACACACACTACACTTGCACGCATAGATGTACATAGTACATCTTGTACAGGCATACACTCTAGGTTGCAAAACCACAAACTAGTAGTATCCTGCCGCTGCTGCGGCCGCTCTTCGCAGTGCTGCACTGGTCACGGGCAAGTCCAGTGCCTCGAGCAAGGGTGAAGTTGCGAAAGCAACTGCTGTTGTTTTACCCAACCCTTCCAAGCTCACAGCTTGGAAGAGTGTGGTGGCAACACCGACCACAAGGCACACTTGCTCGACACCAGGCTGCGCGTGCTGCCAGGCCCTGCCACTTTGCTCCATGTGCTGATGCCAATCGCCGCCTCGGCATCGTTCATATGCAGCGACGGCCATGCAGCCCAACACGCTGTCCGACCGATACGAGTCGGTCCAGACAGCCTTGCCCCCAGCCGGATCATCACGTGCCACGCATCGAAGACTGCGTCCACAGCAAGCAATCTCGTGGAGTAGTGGGACTTTCTGAAAGCTGCCCTCATCCACGGACTCCACCACACCTGAGGGTCCGTCCGCATGCCGCAAGAACCCTTGCCTACACCTGCCTACACCTCTGGATGCTGCATCGTAACGATATCGTCCTGCAAACTTGTGAGCTCTAGTTGCTTCTGCCGTGCGAATTGACAGATCTTGTTCCCTGGGAGGTGCTCATAGCGACTTTAACATTCCCTATCCGCCCTAACCTACTTACAATTGACAAAACACATAGAGTTGACCTCGTGCTGTTGGTATGTGCTTGCTGGCGCAAGCTTGCAACTCATCTGTATCACGCTTGATGCAGACCGCATGAGCCGGCTTATTGTGTTTTCTACGCTTCCACACTGCGCTCAGCACGCAGCTCTTTCAGCTTAAACGTCCTCAAGCGCACCGCACACCACCAAAACAGCTCGCAATTAGTACATGCTGTGGGCGAGCAGAAGGAGGATCAACGTGACATACAATGATCACACCAATATCTTCTGGCTACCACGGTTTCCAGTAGATGAACAATGATTGCGAAATGTTGTATACCCTGCCGGCCTCCAAGTACATCTCCACTTTGGCGTTCCAGCCTTTCAGCTTCTTGCCAATTTCCTAGGCATGCCTGTATGCCGGAAGCCACGGCTGAGCCGAAGATGGAGGCATTGACGTACTCCGTCAGTTTGGCTTGGGCAGCCGTCGGGTCGCTGCTTCCGATGGCCAACTGGGCGCTCTGCAAGGCTGTGCTCAGCTCATGAACACCAGGCAGCTTCTTCCACATCGCTACCTTTGGACGATTGATTGAGCGAGTGGAAAGATTTGTGCCAGTGTTGCTTCGGACCACCTTCGGGTTTTGCAGCTTGCCGTCAGCTCGTCAACCCTCTGAACTCAGCGATGCTTGATGCTTCAGAGGCTTGATCCGTTTAACTTAAACCCGAAAACCCCCACCCTGAACCCTAAACAACAAGATCCCCAAAGCCAAACCCCATCTCTGAGGCCAATCGAAACTTCAAGCTGAGCTTCTGGCACGGCTTCGGAAAACATCCTTAACGCTGGTGAATGGCGTGATCAGGACGAGCCCGGCTATCCGGTGCCTGCGGCAAAAGCTGAACAGCAGCTCCAGGCTTTAGGGTGTGAGGCTTTAGGGTTAAATTACGGGCTTGAGGCCGTCTGCGGGCGTAGACTTTGAGTTGCTGGGCTGTGGCTGTGAGGCTCTAGTAGATTTCGGGAGCATGGAGATGGGGTCACGGCCGAGGATAAGATGCAAGGGTCACTCGAGTCATAGGGCCCAAGATGAAGACGATAAAGGTAAGTAGCTGCAACATGCTTATATTATGCTTATATATTGCAGTATTATAAAGTACTTATTCATTGTTAATAGATGTTCAACAAACAATCATCAAAATAAATACTATAATACATTACTTGCACTTGGAAACTGAAGGGCCCCCATCTCTGAAGCCGAGCACCACCACGGGGGACACTTTTGGAACAGGCTCTGCCAGCAAAGGAACTGATCTCCCGTCCTCTCTGGATACATTGAAGTATGCGACAATGCTTGCAATGACAGCCGGAAGGCGCGACGAGGACTCGTGGGGTTAGAGTTTCGTTGCCAAGAGCCGGCACGCACGTCGGCAGCGCACAAGGGCTTGAGGCCCATGGGAACGCGAAGCAATGAGACAAGAAGAGCTCCAAATAACATGTAGCGCTCCGAACGCCAAAGTTCACTGATGATGAGAGACCTATCAGAAAAAATCATATCCGTTCCGGATGCCCTTGGGGAGACCATGCGACCATGCTCCTACGAAGCAACAGAAGCATCTAGGAGTTGGAACCCTTTCCGGCCATCCCGGCATGTTCCGGAGCTTTCGGAAATCCGAGGAAGCAGCACATCTCAGAAGATTCCCAGCCACGGGCCAACTTGAAACCCGAGACCTGTCAGCAACAACCGGCCTCCAGATTCCCCAAGCTCGTTTCTACGAATGTTACTGCAACTTACAGCGACTGCCTAGGATTACTTCTCCGACGACGACTGCCACTGTTAGTATGACCCCTCGAGTTCTCCCTACTTATGACTTATTACTTAGTACTTATTACTTAGTACTTATTACTTAGTACTTATTACTTATCACTTATGACTTGTTATTACACATTACATATTACTTATCGCTATCATTATCGCAGGGCTGCCTGGCTGCAAGATCGATGGCCGGGCCGGTCCCTAAACTGCGACCGAAGACCTGAAAGAGTCGGCTTGGAGGCTTCTCGGCTTTGGGGGCTTAGGGGTTTAGGGCTGAGGGTCGAACTTTAAGGGTTAAGGTTTAGGTTGTTTTAGGGTTTCAGGGTTTGGGTTCGATCGGGTTTAGTTTAACCCGCTGGGTGATGGTTGGCGGTTTAGGGCTCAAAGGCACTGTCGAGACAATTCACCTGGAAGCCACTTTGGCCCCCCATCCCCTGAACCCTCAACCGGGCGTATGGCTGAATTATGGACTACCCCAGACGGCCGCACTCAGGCTGGGCTTATCCGTTCTTCCGATCTAACCATCTATCTACATGCATGCAGCAAGCATGTATGCTCACGCCTCTAGATCGCGCATGCGACCTGTGCCACATGTCAAGTCTTGCGAAGAACTTAAGACTGTGCAATGCACCGGCAACGAAATAAATAAGCAAGATATCGATCGGTTGTCAAAACGTTCGATCATTAATAGACAGAGAACGGCAAACACAGAGTGAGAGCGAGGTAACAACACGTGCGGCCATGCCAGTCTCGATTGTAACAATACTGACCCTGATTGTAACAATACTGACCCTGATGATGATCGGCAAAATAACACCAGCGGCAAGGAACATGTGACATGATAGAACTAAGCCGTATCGTAACCGCAATGAAAGAACGTAACTAAGTTCAACATGAATTTAGCAGAAATAATTAAATAACCATCACAGCACGAGATTCAATAACCGACGATAGCAACTCCTCATGAAAACAAAGGATACTAAAAGGCACACACGTACTTGTCTATACCATGCGCAGTACTTGACGACGAATCCTGAGCCCAGCACGAGTATCCGGCCCAGCGATATGTTGAGGGTCTGAGGGTGTGGGTCCATAGCCACGGTGACGGTTTTTGTGCTACTTCTTCCTCGGGGGTTTAGGGGCTCAGAGTTTGCAGAGTGTGGGGCGTCTGGCCTCGAGGTTTGGATGTTCTAGAGCTTGGAGGGCTCTGGAGCTTTGGTCGGCTTTTTGCCTGTGGCTTCGAGGGCAGAGCTCGATCCTAAACCCTGAAAGTCAGACTCCCAAGCCTCAAAATGCCTGAAAAGATCTTTAAGGCCAGCCCTGTGAGCCCCACTTCTCCCGAGCTGCGAGCGAGCAGTCCGGCAAGTGCCCAGCTTCAGCTTCTGTCTTCTTACGCCTAATGCATCATTTTGTTGTTGCCACTGCCTCTGCCTCTGCCACTAGCACTAGCACCAGCACTAGCACTGGGAGCAGCAGCACCAGCACTGACACTGGCACTACCACTGCTGCTGCTACTGCTGGTACTCGTACTACGAGTACGATGCATACTAGTCTTGTATCCATATATACTGTAACACTGCATTAATACTATGACGTATCGATGCGATTATCCCTGTCGCTACGATAGTACACTGATTCTGCTCCCTCGCATGAATCATGATGATGGCTGTTGCTGCGACAGCTGCTGCCATCATTACGGTAATCGTCACGCTGACAGTAGCATCTCCACTACAGGCACACACCCAACACCTTCCGACAGGCAATTTGCTGCTGCAAAGGCTGTCGCTGCTTAACCCGTCGGAGAACTAACGGCAGCAGCAACTTTGGTACTGTGCTCGTTCAGGGAGACTGCAAGGGTTCAATCTGAAGACTCGCGGGAGTTGAGATGTGTTCAGCTGGAATCGTAAACTCGTCCTGGACTTGCACTTGCGTTCCGGTGCAAGACCTCTGCCAAACGAAGTGTGTACGTGTATCACTGTGTCTCTGTTGCTCTCCCTACGCTTGATGATATCAATCCTGCACTACCCATAATAAGGAATATACCATAATTCCGATAGTTTAGGGTCCTTCAGGCAATGCAGGATTTATATCATCAACGGTATGTCTGCAGCCTTGGTAGCAAATTGGAGAGCTGCATGCGCATTGGCGATGACACCCTGGCCCAGGGTCGGCTGGAGACCACCGGCCGAAGCCCGAATACCCTAATACCCTAAGACCCTATAAGACCTAATACCCTAAACCCTAATACCTTAAACCCTGATGCCCTAATACCCTGATACCCTAATGCCCTAAGAACCCTAAACAAAGAAGTTGCAGGGTTCGTGAGTTTTCGAGTAGGTCCTTTTCCCATCCCT